GCCTCAATGCCATTGCCAACAGAAGCGAGCTCCAAGAAGAGGGAGTTGTCAGACCCTATCCTTCCGAATGGGATGCAGCCCATTATCCTCCAAAATTTGAAGTCCCGACGCTACAAACTTTTGACGGCACGGGATCAAAGAACCAACATATCTATCATTTCAAGTCACAGACTGGGAATGTGATATCAAACGACACCATACTGGCTCGATTATTCATTGGCACCCTCAAGGGAGTTGCCTTTGAATGGTTCAGGAAACTTCCTACCGGATGTATCCAAAAGTGGACGGATTTAGAGAGACTTTTCCTATCAAGATTCTTTGAAGATGATACAGAAGTTCCATTCATACCATTCTCGGGTATGACACAGTCTACTTTAGTAGAGACTTGTCGGCACAACTTGCAGACAGACCTCCTAGCCCGAATCGGAGTTGCAGAATGCCGTTCCTGGAGACAACTAATCTCTCAAGGTGAACATGCCCAAAAGATTATTGCCAGGATCAAAGCTGAAGAACAAAGTAAGCAGAATCAGCCTGAGCAATCGGACTAAGCCCAATCTTCACCTGAGCAATCGAACCAAGCCCAATCTTCTCAGTCAGAAGAAGATACTACGACTATTGAAGCTAATCCTCTTCAGTAGGATGGCAGGTTCAACAACTATCACGTTAACAATTACCTCTGATAGTCAACCTAATTAGATAGTGGCCCGTTAGGCGATGTGCCATGTCTACCATTTTTCCCCTACACTTGTTCAAGACTGGGGGTTGGGTTATTTGTAGTAATAAATTTTCTGAGTTGTTATGTTTAATAGAATACCTCTGTCAACCACAAAATCTACCAAACCTATCACGTTAACATTTACCTCTGATAGTCCATCAACTTGCTAATCCTCTTCAATAGGATGGCGGGTCCACTAAAACTATCACGTTAATGATCACCTCTGATAGTCTGCTTTCTCCAAATTCCCCCACCAATCCTCTTCAAGTAGGATGGCGGGTCCACCAAAACTATCACGTTAACCGTCACCTCTGATAGTCATTTTCCTCCAAATCCCCCCGCCAATCCTCTTCAAGTAGGATGGCGGGTCCACCAAAACTATCATGATAACCGTCACCTCTGATAGTCCTTTTCCTCCAAATTCTCCCACCAATCCTCTTCAAGTAGGATGGCGGGTCTACCAAAACTATCACGTTAACCGTCACCTCTGATAGTCCTTTTTCTCCAAATTCCCCCACCAATCCTCTTCAAGTAGGATGGCGGGTCCACCAAAACTATCACGTTAACAATTACCTCTGATAGTTCATTTCCTCCAAATCCCCCCACCAATCCTCTTCAAGTAGGATGGCGGGTCCACAAAACTATCACGTTAACAATTACCTCTGATAGTCAGACTCATCAGATAATGGCCTACCAGGTGATGTACCTCTATTCCGACTTCATGGATAGTGCCCCACTAGGTGATGTGCCTTGTCTACCTCTTTTTATTCCCCTGCTAAGTCTTAATCAAGACTGGGGGTTGGTTACTTGGAATCCACAGGATTAAGAGTAACAAATCTTTCACATCGTCAAGTTAACATTACACTTCGGACGATCAGTTAACAATACGCCTCTGACAATCAACTTATCAATCCTTGTCAATAGGATGATAGGTCCTCGAAATTGCTCAAATCGCAATCTTCCCCAGCAAGACACTAAGTCTTCAAAATCTTAGTATCAAAATTCATCGCTTCTGATGATACACTCACTTAGCAATTCTCCCCAGCGAGACGCTAGTCCCCAAAATCTTGTGCAAGTCACAAGTACACATCCTCTTGTCATGTTAACACCATACCTCTGACAAAATCAACTTATCGACTCTCGTCAATAGAGCGATAAGTCCTCAAAGTTGCTCCGATCGCAACATTCTCTTGTCATGTTAATATCAAACACCTCTGACAAAATCAACTTATCGACTCTCGTCAATAGAGCGATAGGTCCTCAAAGTTGCTCCGATCGCAACACTTTCCACTTATCGAATCTCATCAACGGAACGATAGGTCCATAAAAATACTGTTAGGTTAACATCACACCTCTAACGGTAAAACCCCCCAATGAACTTGTTAATCCTTTTTCAATAAGAATAGCAAGTTGTCATTATAAAATCCCCAATGGATTAATTATTTTCTGGAATTATCCTAGTGATAATAAAGAAAATTTCTGAATTTCACTCTAAGTGAAAATTCATGCCAAGTTAATATTACACCTCTGGCGCTTCCAACTTTCTTTCAGTGTTTCAAGTAACACAGGAAGAAATAACGACAAAGTCTACGTATTCAACATCGTAGCACCAAAATCCATGCCTTTTACGCATGGGGGACTTTATCTCGATCCCTAATTAGAGATAAGCCTACGCCTAACACGCGTTGCTGGTTAGTCGTTTCCCGTGAAAATGACAAAGTCTATGTATTCCAAATCATAGCATCAAGTCTAAGAGGGTTCATTCTCTTAGCACAACGGTACATGTGGAACGGACTTAGATAATCCACATGCTAGCCCGACTCAAACGGTAGTCGGTAAAGGCTTATCAAATCCGTTGATGGCTGAGGGTTTGCCAAAAATCCTATACACGTTTGCAGGCCCATCAGCTTAATGGATGTGAGCCGAGACTTAAAACAGATGAGCTAAAGACAAGTCTCAAAGACTTAGTCAAAAATGCACGGAAGCCACTTCCATGTCTTAAGTCAAAACGTTGAGGTCAGACCCGCGATGCAAAAACCGAACGCCGAGGTCACACCCGTGTTCCAAATTCAACATGCAAGGGTGAGACTCACATCTCAAGTTCAAAATGCAGCGTCCACCCCCACATTCCAGAAGCAGGATTATGGTGCATACCTTCACACAGGTCCTACGTGGTAAATCCCTTCAACCAAGATGCCTTCGAAGCGAGTGCAGAGAACAAATCCTTTACCACAAGGAATCAACAGCTCCAAGATCAGAGTTGAGATCCAAAGTATTCCGAAAATTCGTCCCAGTCAACCGCGAACTTTCGAAAACTTTGGAGGGGGTTCTGTAGGCTGTCTAAAAATCACAATAGATAGCTGATCCCCATCAAAACACCGATGATGGAAGTTACATCTGACGACTTCCAGAAGGCTACAATTTGAAGACTTTCACGTAGATCGCTGAAGGTTACAATCTGACGACCTTCACGACAACCGATGAGAGCTCTAGTTTAACAGCCTTCACCATCAACATCGAGAGTTACAATCTGACGACTCTTGCATATCAAAGAGCTAAAGTAAAGATTACAAAATGACGATCTTTGCAACGCTTCGACAGAAAGAGACTACAAATCAATGGTCTCTTCAAACCAAGACGTGGAAGTCCTCCCCGCGAACCAGCATCAAGACGCACCATGTTCATAGCCACGAACGCAGCTCAAATCAACAGCTGAACGCAGCTCCAACCGACGTTGAACGCAGCTCCAATCCGCTGCCAAACGCAGTTCAAATCGCTGCCAAACGCAGCTCTAATCGCTGTCAAACACAGCTTCCAACAAGATGCCAACGCAGCTTCCAGACACTGCGTTCAAGCTTCCAGACACTGCGTTTGGACACAGAATTCATGCCAGAATGCAGGATCTGCGTTTGACTCGTTCAAACACGAGTTGAACGATTTCAAAACCGTTTCCCACAATCTGAGGGGATCACAACTCCACTCAGGAGTAATTTGAGGGGCGGTTACATCCCATTAGCCCCACTTAGGAGCGAATTAAGGAGGTGGTTACACCCCTTAATCCCCTATAAATAACAACAAACTCAACAGAGTTAAAGATCGGATTTTTGATAATCAGATCAGGGCTGGAGATATTCGGATCGTCAACGAGAAGCAAACTCGACGCGAGCATTCGAGGGAGGCACTCCATCGCCACCGTGAAGAACCCAGAATTAAACAAAGGGGAGAATCCAGATCATTCTCTTCTCTTTTGTAATCAGGAAATCCAATTGTAATCGAGATTAAAGGAATACAAATCAATTTTCCTTCATTTCTTTTACTGCAAATTTTTCCACAAACATTGTTGATTTGGTCATCTTAGACCAGGTCAAGCTAACAAGTAAGAGGGGTTAAAAAGAATGATTAATGTACTTAGCTCATTCGATTATCTGAATGACTAAATTATTAACCAATTAAATAAGTTTTATTTTAGCCTTTGTGATCAGTTTTAGTGTTTGGGAATAACAATGATTTTGACTATTTTCTTTATAATTAGAAGGGTTAACTCTTAATCCTTCTAAATAGGAGTACTAGTAAACCCCTCATTTTGAGAGGTTAACTCATTTTAATCTCTCTAGAGGGGTTAGCTTAACCATTCTATATTTTTTATGTTTGGCAAATTATGAAGGGTTAACTCACTTTAACTCTTGTATAGATTTTTTATGTTTGATGGATTAAAAAGGGGTTAAGCCTCATTAACCCCTCACTCAACCATTTGCCAAACAGTACCTATATGTTCTTTTTTTATGAAAAGTACCGAAATTTCATTAATTAGGGGTGCTTTATGCTTTGAACGTGAGGTAGTATGATATCGTATTTTGGTCAAATTTTATGGATTTTGAGAGAACGAAATGGTTGGGTTGGGATCCCCTGTACGAGGCTCCATCCTTACTTCTAATTAAAAAAAATTAAAGTGAAAGGAAAACAAAAGGACAAGAAAGAAAAAGAAATCTAGGTTTTTTTTTTTTTTTGATAGACCTAGATAGTTGAGATTCTGTTCAAAGAAAGTTGAGTTTATAAATATAATATATTGTTTTCTCAAAGAAAAAAACAAAATAAAAATAACTAAACAACCCACTGAGAATAATCCGGACGTTTAGTAGTTCTCATATGGCTACCACAGTCTGGGTTGGATTCTGGAAAACGTATTTTTGGGTTGCATCTAACCAATTCGGGTTTAACCCGACCCGTTAGCACCCCGATAGCGGTGAACGCTGAGCCACTGAGACAGTGGCAGCTGTCTTTTTACTATAAATTATCACCATTCGTCCCCAAATTCAAGGGCGAAGAAATCGCGAGGAATGGCACCGATCGCAGTCGGCGACTCTATCCCCGAGGGAACCCTGGCCTGGTTCGACGAGAACGATCAGCTGCAGCAGCTCTCCATCCACGCCCTTGCCAAGGGCAAAAAGGTCATTCTCTTCGGCGTCCCCGGCGCCTTCACCCCTACCTGCAGGTAAATCGATTAATTTAGGGTTTTCTTTTTCCCCCTTTAGTTTTGGATCTTGATCTGATTCTAGAAGAAGAGAATCTGAGAAAAAGAGGTAGCTTTTCTAAATTTAGATTAATTCAAGAAAATAATTTGTTAAAGGTTTTTTTTTTAATATTTTTTTTTATTTTTTAATTTTAAATTTTTTTCTTTTGCAGTATGCAGCATGTGCCGAGTTTCATCTCTAAAGCAGAGGAGCTTAAATCCAAGGGCATTGATGAGATCCTCCTAGTTAGCGGTATGCATAAATCTCTTATTTATTTATTTATTGCGTTTTTGTGGTGCAATTTTTTAAAAGAAAGGGGGAAAGTGGAGAAAATGGAATATGTTCATCGGCAAATTTGCTGTGAGATACTCTTCAGTGTGAATTAAGGAATATGTCCCACCAGGACAAAACATAAATGGGAAAAATGCTTCCAGCCCCCAAAAGCCAAGAAAACGTGCTTCCCACCTCAAAAACTTTGCAATGGGTGTTTTACCCTAAAAAATAAAGATTCTGTTCTCTGAGCCCCAAAACACAAAACCCAAAAGATTAAAATATGTGAGGACCATAATACCCTTCTCTCTCTTTCTTTTTTTATTAAAATATGATGAGGATTATTTTATTATTTTTGTTTTCTCTCTCTTTATCATGATGTACTAAGATGATAGTTAAAATGATTGATGAGGATTATTTTATTATTTTTATTTTTTATTATTTTTATTGTTTGTATTAGAAGATTGTTGAAGTTACGGGTTAATTGTTAAGGTTACGAGTTAATTGTTAATGTTACGAGTCAATTGTTAAGGTTATGAATCTTCTTTCTCTCATAATGTTACTTTGATGATATTGAAATGATTGAAGATGATTATTATTTTTTTTTTTTGTTTTTTATTCTTTTCGTATTTTTAGAATATTCGTTAAGGATAATGGTTGGTTGTAAAGGTTATGCATTGATTGTTAAGGTTACGGGTTGGTTGTTAAGATTACGGGTTTGTTGTTAAGGTTATGAGTTTGTTGTGTAGGTTACGGATTTGTTGTTAATGTTACGGGTTTAATTGTTAAGGTTACAGGTTTAATTGTTAAGGTTATATGTTTAATTGTTAAGGTTACGGGTTTAATTGTTACGGTTACGGGTTTAATTGTTAAGGTTACGGGTTTAATTGTTAAGGTTACGGGTTTAATTGTTAAGGTTACGGGTTTAATTATTACTTTTACGGGTTTAATTGTTACTTTTACGGATTTAATTGTTAAGGTTACGGGTTTAATTGTTAATGTTATGGGTTTAATTGTTAAGGTTACGGGTCAATTGTTAAGGTTATGGATCTCTTCTCTCTCTCGTAACTTTAACAATTAAACTCGTAATCTTAAATTAAACCGTAACCTTAACAATTAAACCGATAACCTTAATAATTAAACCCGTAACCTTAACAATTAAATCCGTAACCCTAACAGTTAAACCGTAACCTTAACAGTTAAACCCTAACCGTAATAATTAAACCCGTAACCTTAATAATTAAACACGTAACCTTAATAATTAAACCCGTAATCTTAACAATTAAACCCGTAACCTTAACAATTAAACCGTAACCTTAACAATTAAACCGTAACCGTAACAATTAAACCTGTAACCGTAACAATTAAACACGTAACCTTAACAATTAAACCCGTAATCTTAACAATTAAACCCGTAACTTTAACAACAAATCCGTAACCTACACAACAAACCCATAACCTTAACAACAAACCCGTAACCTTGACAACCAACCCGTAACCTTAACAAACAATGCATAACCTTTACAACCAACCATTATCCTTAACAACAAATAAATATTCTAAAAATATGAAAAGAATAAAAAACAAAAATAATAAAATAATAATCCTCTTCAATCATTTCAATATCATCAAAGTAACATCATGATAGAGAGAGAGAGGATTCATAACTTTAACAATTGACCCGTAACATTAACAATTAACTCGTAACCTTAACAATTAACCCGTAACTTTAACAATCTCCCAACACAAACAACCAAAAATCAATCATTTCAACTATCATCTCAGTACATCATGATAAAGAGAGAGAGAAAACAAAAATAATAAAATAATCCTCATCATATTTTAATAAAAAAAGAAAGAGAGAGAGAAGGGTATTATGGTCTTCACATATTTTAATCTCTTGGATTTTGTGTTTTGGGGGCTCAGAGAACAGAATCTTTATTTTTTAGGGTAAAACACCAATTTAATAAAAAACGAAAATAATAAAATAATCATCATCAACCATTTCAATTATCATCTCAGTACATCATGATAAAGAGAGAGAGAAAAAAAATAATAATAAAGTAATCATTATCATATTTTAATAAAAAAAGAAAGAGAGAGAGAAGGGTATTATGGTCTTCACATATTTTAATCTCTTGGGTTTTGTGTTTTGGGGGCTCAGAGAACAGAATCTTTATTTTTGGGGGTAAAACACCCATTGACAAAGTCTTGGGGGTGGGAAGAACGTTTCCTTGGCTTTTGGGGGCTGGAAGCATTTTTCCCTTCATAAATTCATGCGGGGAAATTTTAATTTTTTTTTTTTTTTGCGGTAGGATTTTCATTTGCTTTATATATTTGCAGACTACTAAGAGATATCAAATGCTTTGATTTACTGGGGAAAGTTCATGTATCTAAATCTAAGAGAAGACTACATGACACAATTGATCCTGGTTGGAATTCATGGGGCAAGTTATAACATGCTTGTGTCATGTAGTGCCAAAGTTAGGACTTGTAGTGCTTAGCATTGCCCAAATAGCAAATCATCTTTTTGTTCTGCGAGAGTTGAGAGTTGCAGATCTTTCTAAGGTTAAACAGGCCAATGAGTGAAGATTTAAGATTTCTGTCGCTCATTGTCAATTGTTTGAGAGAGCTTAAATTTTCGTCCAAGCTCGCCCATTTCCATCACGTGTGAGCTGTCGACAAGACCAAACTGGTCTCATATAAACCATACATCTTTGCAGTTAGGTGAGAGGAGAGGACAGCGTGGATTTTGGTTGGACCATCAACTTCTTTTATTTTGTTTCTTCACGAAGAAAGTCTTTGTCTAGTTTGAGTTTGACAATGGAGGACGTATCATGTATGTGAATCATCATGCGTCTGTGAAAACATTAAAGCTGCAAATTCTCTGTGCAAGGTTGATTTTAATCTTAGTTAAGGCCAAGAATGTGAAGTTTACTTGATTATTTAGAAAGCTAAAATATTTTACAGCTTTCTCCATCTACGTAAAGGACGCGTTCAATTGCAGAGCCAGAAATTTTATGTTTTTTATTGGGGTGGGGGTCAGGGAGGGTGTGTACATACATAATTACCTGCTTGTTTGTTTTGAAAAACACTCAAAACGAACATTGTATTACTTTTTATTCAAAGGTATTCATAATAGAATCCAAGCATAGATTTCAAATACTGCTTCATGAGACTGTGTTAGGTATAAAGGAGATAAAAAACATTTCCTTGGTGATCAATCAAATTCTAATTGAAACACTTTAAAACCAAAAAGAGATTCTAACTTTATCTAATTGAAAAATCAATTAGCTAAATATAAAATCAACTGAAGTTGAGTATGGACTGTATTATAATTTCAGAAATTGGAGATGGTGCAGAATGGCATTTGGTTACTTTCTGTGAATGATAGGAAATGAACAGCAGGACTCTAGGTACTTTATTTCTTAAAATATGAGCTATAAAATTGGCCTATTATTTTGAACCCATCACAGGCCCAAAAGTTAGTTTAGTTGGCTAGGTTGGACCTATTAATTTGTATCCCTCACAGGCCCAAAAGTTAGTTAATTTGTTACCTCTATTTTAAGAAAGCTAGCTTATCTTAACCTATAAGGATTTTGCAGAAGTTTAGGGGGGCAAAGGTCCCCTCCAACGGACTACTTGGCTCCGCCCTTGGACGAGCTTGAGAGAGCTCTTACCATGTATGTCCTAAGCTGAGCCTTGTGCTTGCTGAGCCCATTCACAGGTCTAGAAAGGAGGAAGAGAGAAAGAAGGAAACGATGAGTTATTACATATTTTTTCATCATTACTTCTTAGGAGTAATTCCAGAATCTCTCTTCTTTTTACATCCAGAATGGGCGACCACAATCTTTCTGCTCTTTCACTTTTCATGTCTGAAACTCTCATCCTTGAATAGATTTTTCTTTTATGTTGAATAGATTTTTCTTTTATTTTTTATTTAATGACAGGTATATAGAATGAGGTGCACTTTTTAGTGTGAGAAGTGGTTTTTCTTTTCTTTCTTATTTTTCCCCCGGTGGGGGATGCTGGAGCATTGGTTACCTTTAAATACTTGTTATGTAGTTAGTTGTACCTGAAACGTGAATGCAGACAAGGTGCTACTTTTAAATACTTGGTATCTAGTTAGTTATATCTAAAAGTTGAATGCAAACAAGTTTGTATCATCGGTTACTATCATCCTTAATTAATTTATTTTTGTGGTGTTCCCACACATCGTGGTCTCAAATATTTTATCTAAGGGTTTTTTAGATATTAGCCTCTTAAATCATTAAGTAATTTGATATTAGACCCTTAAATCTTCATATTTTGATATTAGCCCCTTAACTAGCTATGATATGTTGATATGAGCCCCTATGGTTAGGTCCATATTTTGATATTAGCCCCTCAAACAGCCATGATGTGTTGATATGAGCCCCTCATATTAACACGTCATAGCAACTTGAGGGGCTACTATCAAAATATGGAGATTTAAGGGGCTAATATCAAATTACGTTCAATTTAAGGGGCTAATATCTAAAAAGCCCTTTATTTAAATTATACCATCCTAACACAGGTTTTGCTTCATCATTCATCGTTAGGCTTAGTATGGTAAAAGTGTTGTTATTAGGTGTCATGTTAAACTTATTTTTATGCTAATAGTGAGAAATATATTTCTCTATTTTGATGCTCCCCATGTTGAACTTTTTCCTTGTAACTCTAATTACAAGTTGCTCCTTGATCTGCTATAATCAAATTGCACAACACGATCCATGGAGTGCATAAACTTGGGGTGAGTAATATATGAAACAGGATAAGCAGGACTAGACGGTAGATAGTCATGGTTCTTCACATTTAAAATGGGCGACACGGGGAGTGTAAGTTAACTTTATCTATTTATCACACATCTAACTACTATGCACATAGAGTGATAAATTTGTGCTACACTTATCTCTATGGAAAGATGACCTGAGAATTTAAGTAATTCCCTTGTGGCAATTACTGAACCAGGATAAACTTGCTACCTAATGGATCACATTAGTCTAATCTAACGGGGAAATTTACTATTTGTTAATTTATGCAGTTAATGACCCCTTCGTGATGAAGGCATGGGCAAAAACCTACCCTGACAACAAGCATGTCAAATTCCTAGCTGATGGATCTGGAACCTACACTCACGCTCTTGGCCTCGAGCTCGATCTCTCTGAGAAAGGCCTTGGGACTCGCTCCCGTAGGTTTGCTCTCCTTGCTGATGATCTGAAGGTCAAGGTTGCAAACATTGAGGAGGGTGGAGCTTTCACCATCTCAGGTGCTGATGAGATCCTTAAAGCTCTCTAAAGGAAATCACCGTTATCGGTATTTTCTGTTGTTGCTTTTCATGTTCAGCTGTAATGCTGTTGTTGAAACTGTGCACCATAAGTTATGTTTTCAGACATGTTATTCTCGTGGAGTCTAGTGAGGTTTTCCTCACTTGTGAAAAGTATGTTTGGATTCTGATTAAGGGTGTTTAAATGGGATAATCTCTCGTCCTACTGTTGTTTCTCATTTATTGTGATTGGATTTGGCCTTCTGCCTTCTGCTATTGGTCCGTTCTTCAGTCGTGACTTTTCTTGTCAACATGAAAAGTTGGTTAGGGGTCCCACACTTGAGGGAGAGCTCATGTTCGAGCCCACAGCATGAGGAGAGCTCGACCCTTTCAAGAAAACCCCTAGGAATTAAAGGCCCGCCTCATATTCATCTCAATTCCCAAAAAGCCGGCAAGAGTTTTAAAACAAGGATTGTTGATTAAGGAGCAAAGCTACCTCAGTGTTCCACGTTTATTTGTTTCTATTCAATTAAGAATTTATGATAAATGAAAGAAAATATTCCCGTGGTTAGTAGGAATCAAAGCGAATCCTCTAGTTTATTTCACCTCCACACTAGCAATTTTTAGTCACATAATCATTAATGTGTTCAATATATTCACATAGATATAATCACGTTAAGTTTGCAGGGAGAATAGAGCAAAACCGGAATAATCATTTTTTTTTTCAAGGAGCGTAAAGCCAAAAGTTCCTACACTAAGGGCTTGTTTGGATTTGCACTGGTGAAGGAAAGTTAACGGAACATATAATAAGTAAAGAGAATGTATGAGAATATGTAAAACTTGTTAGGGGAATTAGTAAGGGGAATTAAGAGGAACTTATTTCACTCACGTTTGTAGGCATTGAAAATTGCCTATAGGTCTCCACGAACGGTTCAGTGTTAAAGAGCGACGATGAACGTTACTATCCGAGCCACAGGAGTCCAATTGACGTCGACGAACGACTGAAGTGAATCGACGAGCTATGTGAGCGGATAGGATTTCGGAACAACGAAGACCCGGACCAATCGGGAACCCGGCGGTGTTCACAAAAAGGACAACGCCCTTCGTGCCTCGACCACTCTACAGATAATCCAACCACCAGAGCGGATCGAACTCTTCGTCAAGCATCCAACGCACCCGGAATCACTCAAATCCGAGTTCGGACGAAGAATCTACAGGGAAAACAACCAAATCACCTCAACCGGAGTCTCGGGAGGTCGAAACACCCCGGGGGTGTCTAGGAAAAGCCTAGACACCCCAGGGGTGTCTCCGCCCCCTAGAGGTCCCCTACATGCCCTCATATGCCTATAAATAGACCCCTTACCCCTTCGTTGATACTAAGAAGAGCTATTACCTCGCTTTAGCCGAGGTATACGCTTATAGTTTCTAGATCTCACGCGGATCGACGAAGTTCTGCTTCTATATCCCTTCGTGGATAGACGAAGCTCTGCCCGATTTTCTCGGACCAGATCTGAGTGCCCCGGTGGTCCACGGATATCAACGTCCCCGTCACAGGCAAAAGACCCACGCAAGCAAGAGATGATAAACGGATCTTGCGTTTGTTTGAAAAGAGTTGTATTTCTTTTGTTTTCATTGTGTAAGGGTCTTATAAAAAGGCTATCTTTTTGTTTCATTGTAACGATTGAAGTTGTAATGAATGCGCAATGAATACAGCAACTTTTTTCCGCAAACAAGCTGGCGACCACAGTGGGAGCCAACGGCATCGCTACCGACGCCGTCGTGACGCAACCGGCATTCAAGACCCGGGTGAATGAAGAATACGAGCTCGATCGACAACAGTTCAAAGGAGACCTCTCTTCCTCCTCCTCCAGATCCGTCTCTCCGAACAGGCGCATAAAGGTAAATTCTTCCAGAAATGTTCGCAGGACCTTCGGCTCGAAGATCCAAGACCCCGTTGCCGCCGCTGCACTTGCACCACGTGACGTCCCCGCGTCGTCCAACGTGGTCGAGATTGCAGATCCAGACTCCTCCTCTGCACTTGCACCACGTGACGTCCCCGCGTCGTCCAACGTGGCTCTCGAGGAGCGAATCCAGAAGCGCCGCGCCTTGCGTGCGCATGCCCGAGCCCTGGTGCAGAAAACACGAGAAATGCAAAAGGAAGAGGCAGTTAAGAGATCGCCAGGATCCAAACGAGTTTGGGTGCCAAAGGCCAAATCAACGCCTAAGGCAAAAGCGGGCGACGTTGCTCTCCGGCCTTCGTCAACTTCAGATCCCGAGCCTCCGATGGATCCCCACCGCAGCGGAGGTTTCACCAAGCTTAGGATTCCTCTGGAGGATCGTATCGGCACTCTACCCGAGAATCGAGGAAAAGCGCTTGATAAGGAGAGCTGGAGATCATTGAACGAGCTTCAAGCCAACATCCAGACTGGGGGTCGTACACGACCTCCTAACAAACGGATTCCTGCAACGGCCAGCTTGGCGTCAAGGTTTCACCCTCACAAAGGGGTGATTCCAAACGTGCGACTCTTGCAGAGGCCAACAAGGCAATGTTTACTCAGAAGAAAACGCATCGGACAGACGAACGCGTTATACCTGAGAACCCATGTGAGCAGCCGATAGGTTACTCCGACCGCAACGTCGGTGAGTTGTACTATCAGGCTGGGGTGCGAATGAATCTCGAAAGAGAAATATCCGGGAAGCGGATTCTCACTGTCCGTGTACCAAATTTATCAGGGCACTATTATCAACATGTAGCTGCCCCAAGACCGCTCCGCAGAGGGTCTCGATACTCGAGAGAATCTCCGATGGAACGACGAAGCCCAAATCAAGGCATTTACCCCAAAGAGGATCGGCTGTTCGAGATGATGAACTCCCAGAAGTTACCATCAACATGGTCAACAAAGGAAAATCTCCAATTATTTCAAGTGGTTCCGACCCTAATCTCTCTTCAGGAAGCGGAGTCAATTCGGGAATAGCTCAGCTTCAGCTAGAAGCCGTCGGATATAACGACGACCATGGGATTCATGAAGAAGTCCATTCCGATGATGAGCTCTCAGATTCTCATTCCGCTCTTACCTCTGACAATACAACGTCTAGCATAGGGCAAGCTCGAGAAGTGTTCATGGTCAACACCGAGCAGATAGCCAAAATCATTGAAGAGGCCCTGGCTAAGCAGAAGGAAATCTTCAAGTTTAAAATGAAAATGGCTATGCAGGAGATGAGACAAATGCACGACCAAAAAATCCGAGCTTTGTCAAATCAGCTAGTTGAGTCCAACTGTCGCACCCAGAACGCCGCAGTTGACAGCGATCCGGAAGTGGATGAAGTCGTCATGGCCGACGCACCACCCAAGAATACTGGGGGTGGCCCCACTAAAAATAACAACGCTAGGGGTGGACCCACCAGTGATGACAACACTGGGGGTGGTCATATTATTCCTCTCGAAAATTATCCAAAACAGGGTATAGATGAGACCGAAAAGATGAAGGATCTCGAAAGAAAAATTGACGCCCTGATGTCCGCTCGAGAGGTGAAGAGGACCGGCATTCCGTGTCCTTACCCGAAGGAGTGGGATTTGATCCCGTATCCGGTGAAGTTCAACCTGATCAACTTCACGCCGTTCGGCGGGAAGGGCTCGCCCACTCAACATCTAATTTACTTCAAGTCCCACTTGGGAGTGATCTCTGGCAACGAGCCTTTGATGGTTCGGTCATTCGTTGGCACCCTTCGCGGGCCCGCCTTCGATTGGTACCGCCGTCTCAAGCCCGGAAGCATCAACAGCTGGGAGGACCTGGAAAGCATGTTCCTCGCTCATTTCTTCGATGATGACACCGAAGTGTCGGTCAGGACACTCTTCGATATGAAACAAAAAGACGGAGAGTCGGTAGATACCTTCATCAAACGCTTCCGCAATCAGGCAATGAACTGCAAGGATCCCGTCACGGAGGAGTTCATCTTGCAGACTTGTCATAATAATTTGTCCATTAATATCTTGGACGTTATGGGAACGGACCCGCTCAATACCTGGAAAGAGTTGAAGGTACGCGGAGAACAGGCCGAACGCTTCCTCAGAAGGAGGAAAGCCGAGAGGAGCCAACCGATGGTTAGCCCTCTGAATTCGAGTCTCGTACCTCATGATGAAGGGGACGCACCTGTAACAGTTATTGACGATAATCAAACGTCACAACAGCCACTCCGAAGACAGCAGAAGACTTCGGATCTAGAGGCCCAGGAAGAGTACTCGTTCAAGGACGAAGACATTCCCGCCATCTTCGAGTCTCTTCTCGAAAACAACAAAATCAAGCTCACACCCATCATGAATCAGGAGGAAGCTGACGATTCTGCGGATCCGAAGTACTGCGAGTACCACAGGAGGATCCTCCATCCCACCAAGGATTGCTTTGCTCTTAAGAATAGCATCCAAACCTTGGTTGAAGCCGGTGTTATAACGCTAGGGTAAGCCAATTGAGAACGGCAAAACTCCGATAAGTATAAGAGTATAAACTGCTCCTTAAAACTCCGAAGAGTATACGAGTATAAACTGCTTCTCAGTCCTCCAATCGGTATATGAGGTTAAACTGTTCCCTGATACTCCAATAGGTATATGAGTCTAAACTGTTTCCCACTTTTGACGGGAAGTTCCTGGAGGATATTACGCTAATATTCTTAAGGATAACCCGGTCAAGTAACTGAGAATAATATCCGAACCAGTTCGGCAGAGGAAGCTGGGGGTGGATAACCAATGCATCGGGAAGTTCCCGGAAGAATACTACATGGGTATTCTTAGGGATAACCCAATCATTGTGGAATTGACAAATAAGAAATCTACATTCGAACTCTGAAGGTCAGAATGTCTCTTCTTATTTTTATCAAGATTCTCCAACTCTTATGAGTTATTTTTGTGAGATGAGATCTAATCCTCTGATAGGTTAATCTTTCCTCACCAAACCACCCGCTGATCAAATTAAAACGACAGGGGATCCACCAACGTTTCCATTTGCCCGTCGTTGGTATTTCTCAGACTCAACATGTTAGGTCATAATCACCTAGCATTAAAGTCTCCCTTGGAGTGATAATACGAGTTGGCACTTTCTTTGCTACCCGTATTCCACTCTCTTTGCTTTCTGGTCAAACCTATAAAAGTTAGGGCCAAAGCCAAAATCCCCTCTCGATTCCTCCAATGAACGAGAGGTTCACTTTCAAATCGAGTGATCAAACCTTCCTACAGTTAGGGTCATCT